TGCTTCGTTTACAAACAACACAACCGTTTATTAAACACGAAAGAAGCTTACAAGATTACTGCGATCTTGGAAGTTCTACGTCGGCTGCGGTCGCTGGGTCTTCCTCTCCTGTGGTTCCACGATAGTCCCATTTTGAAGGAGTGTCCCTTGTTCGAGAATGAACAATTCCATCACGTCTCGATGACTCCGGGACGATGCGGTCGACTTCCGTTGATGGAAAGATGTCGATCCGAGGTCTGGAGATGGAGACGAAGATGGGTGCGAGACACACACACAACAACAGATCCGTCACTTGGAACTTTCGGGAGAAGAAGCCGCCGCGTCCTCGAATTTCCGGGGTTTTATCTGTTTTCTCTCAGATTCCTCTTTCCGATTGGTCTCCCGTCGTCACTTGATGACAATTCGAAACCTTTCGGGGGCGCGGGAGAGGTCAAAATCGAAGTTTAATTCGATTTGCAATTGGAAATGGTCTACGGACTTACATTCTTCTATTGTTTAAAAGTTAGCGTCACGTTTTCATATAATAAAATCTATTTCTAACTAATATATATATTTTTTCTAAAACAATTATTTTCCACAAATTTTAGTGAGGGTTCGGACCTGTCCAGATCCTCACATGCTCTACTGTATATAGATTAGTTGAAACTGACGTTCAAACCCACGACGGATCTTGCTTTATATACCCATCTATACAAAAAAGGCTTCGAATGGTTCACAATGTTCCAGAACATTCCACAACATTCAAGAGTGTTCTGGAATGTTCCACAATGATGTAGGATGTTGTGGAATGCTCTTGAATACTCTTGAATGTTCTGGACTGTTCTAGAAATTTCTAGAGAGCGAAACTTCCAGCCCTTATATCTTCAACAGCACGCCCTTCAGGTAAAAACAGGAACCTTCTTCATGGATGGGGGATAGAGGGCTACCACACCATATAACTCCCTTGATCGTATCAAGACTCGTTTTTGAGTTTTAGCAGCACGCACATTGTACACTTACCTTTATAATATATATTGATTGATTAATATGCTAACATATTATATTAGTATGATAACTTCTTTATCTTCAGAAATTTCTTGTTTACTGTGAGAATTTTCTGCACATTTTTCCACTATATCATTTTTATATACATTATTTTCATGTCCAGATTCAATAATCAAATTTTTGTCAATTAACCAAAGTAACATCTGCTGTAATTCTTCAATATCTTGTTGTCAATTTGATAAGCAATATTTTCCATTTTCAGATAAAAAACCGAAAAACATCTAACAACATATAACAAAATACTCTAATAAGTTGTGGTATCTCTCGCATACAAAGTAAGATAGTGTTGAAAAAACATGTGCAGTTTTGCCCAAGTAAAAAGAGCTGATGAACAATGCTAGCTAATCAATATTGTCAGTCTCTTGAGATTAACCTTTCACTGTGGGTTAGTAAGATATGGTGCTATCCCTATGTAGTGGAGAATAAATGTGGGAAATTTTTTAAGTATTTTCCCACGTTTTTTCTCATTACCATTTTGGAAAAAGATTTTGTAAACAGTTATGTCTAGTAAAGAAAAGTCTTTTTTTATTGTTACATAATTCCCTTTTTTATGTGAATTTTTTTTTGCAATAGTTTTTGGTGATATCCGCAAAATTCTTTTGCAGATACATCCGTCATTCACCAGTGCCACATGATTACCCTTGATGGATATATCCATTGATCACTGCTCAGTGGTTACTACTCAAATTTCCCAGATTTTATACATTTCAAAACAATTTCTATGCTGCTTGTCATTGGTGATCCATATACAAGGTGATCATAATTAAAGTTTACCTTTTAAAAAGATATAACTCAGGAATTAATAAACAGAATGACATTATATTTCACACAGAGACATCTGTATTGATGGAATTTTACATGAAAACAAACAAATATTAGTTACAAAAAGCTTCTGCTAGAGCATTAAATTTCACTGTGATACCACAGTGAACTCAAAATGTTGCAAAATTTACAATACACATGTTATACAACAGCATACTTGATATGCTAGCTTCCAAAACTCTGAGTGCTGTTATTGAATGTGTGATTTGGCAATTTCATTATATTGCTAACAATGGAGGCCAGCAAACCAATCATGCTCTATTGCTTAGCCACACAATGTATCTTGTGTATTGTAAGTTTTGAGACATTTTGAGTTATTTGCTATTTTGTTGCAGCACTACTTACTATCTTATCAGACATTTTTGTAACTAACTATTTTTTGTTTTCAAATAAAATTCCATCATTACAGATATCTCTGTATGAAATATAATGTCATTCTTCTGATTAGTTCCTGAGTTATATCTTATTGAAATGTGAACTTTAATTATGAACATACTGTACAATATTTTAAACCTGAATGATTTGTTAAAAAAATCTTGATTAGGGAAATGTTGCTTCTAACTTGTGAACAAATATTAGCAAGTTCAATTTCTATAGTCAGTGAAATCAATATCCTTTTGCCTTTGCCAAGTAATTCAGGAAGTCATCCACCACTATACAGATGGACTATTTTAAATGTAATTTAACTATTAAAACTGAATAGAATATTAAAAAAATAAGCAGTTTAATTTTAAATGTGCAATAGAACATAACTGCAATTTTCAAAAATTCAGTTTAACAGAATAGATCTAACATTTTTTCTATGTGTTATTTGTTATCCATAAATCTAAACTTAAATGATTGATTATCTTCGTTGTTAGACTATTATATTGTACTTCTTGTATTAAAGAAATACAATATGATTATATTGTATTTCTTGTAATACAATATTGTATTTCTTTATTTTACTTAGTTTTGTGCAATAATAGGATTTAATAGTAATTTTTATTAATTTTTTTTAATAAGAAATTTAATATTTGTTTATTTTTTTAAACATATAACTCCATGATATAATACAATTAAATATTTGTTCAGGTGGCAAAAGTATAACCTTCCTTTTCTTAGAAAGAATTTTTTAAAAATAGATAAAAATTAATTATTAAACTTGTTTATTATTTTTACAATTTCTGTTTTTATATATTATAAATATGAGAATACTCAATTGTCTTTTTCACAAAACCATTATAATAAAAGAAAATAAGTATTGGACTATAATAATAAATGAATGAAATTTCATGATAACTATTACTTAATTGTCTAATTAAATCAGTTAACTCTGTTATAGATTTCAAAAACATTTATCTGAAATAAATCATACTGTGGGTAGCCTCTGAGGTAGGACGCAGTCGTACCTCTTTTGTGTCGCTTTACAGGCTGGGTAAGCCTGCTCACTGGTCAAAGGATGGCAGGTTTCGTTCTAAGACCCGCAGGGTCAGGTCATGTGGAGGAGGTGAGAAGGGTCGTCAATAAGGCGTTGGCAATACATGAGTAAAGGACACCATTTAACAATCAAACAAAATTTTATTAAATAACAACATAACTAACATCGAGATTCTATCAACCTTATATGCGGGTGTGTGGGTGTGCGCACCGAGAGAGAGTTTACAATATTCATTATCATACCTCTAAAGTTGCTTGTATTCAATGTAGCTTGGGTTACAGAGATTGTTCTGGAGCTATCTGAGGATTGTTTGAAATTTATCCAGCCTTGACTTGGTGACCACACTCTCCGAGCAAAAGATCTTTTTTTTCCGGCCTTTGACTCCCCTTTGTCATTTGATCTATTTGTCTCCCAGATCACATTATCTTTTTTCACCAATTGTGAATTTTTTTGCTTATTTTCTCGTGACACATTCTATGAGTCCTCTGGAGGAAGGAGATGACTCGGGGGAAAGGAAATGTGATCATACCCAGGTTGTAAGATGAACAAATTTTCGAAAGAAAGAAAAAAAATGGAAAAAAAATATTTTTTCCTCAATTTCATTAGGTCTGACCCTCACAATACCCTGGCTCCTATAACAGAGTTAAGTGATTTATTTAGACTGTTACAGATAGAATTGTGTGTGTCAGTTAACATTTCATAACTTAAGTAATATAGAATTTTTATTTTAAATTTTACAATAGTAATTAATAGTTTAAGAATTTATTTTGAAGGTTAATATTAAGTATATTATATAAATATAATGCATTTATAATTTTATGTTAGGTTATAATTAATGGAAAAGAAATAAATGTATTGCCACATTCAGCACCAGGTGTTTTAATTCAGCAGCTGACATCCTTATATCAAAAGGTAAAAAATGTAGATGCTTTATTGAAATATTATATTAAAATTTCAAAAGTACAGTAGAACCTCGATTATCCGGACTAATTGGGGATGAAGGTAGTCCGGATAAGGAAAAATCCAGATAATCGAAACAGATACTTTAATTTGTCTTTTAATGATAATACAACACGTTTTCTTTTCGATGACATATCGGTAATATTAAAAGTAAATACTGTATTTAAATCGTGATCAAATTTTCAAGAAACAAACGTTCGTATTGAATTTGGACTACTACTGACCAACGCTAACAGACTACCTATTGTTTAAAAGGCCCTCTGGTGGCGCAAGAAGACGGATTTTATAAAATAAAAAGCAGTTGAAACTGCATTTTTATGAATAAAAATTTGACAAACTATTTATCGTTTTATGACGAGTAAAATTTTTTCGTCGCGTTCGCGGCTTTTAAGTAATGCATAAACCTTCGAGGCGCGAGGCCCTTCGGACCGCGAGGCATAGGCGGTGGCCCACGTCGTCCATGCCTTACGCCGCCCTTGGTCATAGAAATGATGTAATTTGAATATAAATTATTTATAAATACGTATGTCAAGTTATATTTTTATTACTACGTAAAATATATTTAAGAGTTTACGACCACTGTGCTGGGTGAGACGTTGTTAAAACAAAAAAAGTTATGCATTCCATCACGTACTGTACATAAACAGTGTCGTAATTTGCCAAGTGCAAATCAGCAAATTCGTAAAATTTTTGTTTATTTTGAACAATCCGGATAATCGAAAATCCGGATAATGGAGGTCCAGATAATGGAGGTTCTACTGTATATGAAAATTAATGTTTAATATTATGTAATTTTAGAGATTTATTAATCATCAACCTAAAAATATTATTTTCTTAAAGGTTCATATTAATCAAATTGAGTTTAGTATTTCAATTAATTATTATTATAATTTATTATTAAAATGTTAGAGTGATGGAAAGAAATACAGAAATAGATGGCAATATTTGGTAAAACACATTGTTTTAGATTTTTTATTTTAATACTTATTATTTAAACTAAAGTTTTTCGATTTAAAATAAAAAAAAAAACTTTTTTATCATTGCTAGTAACAAACATCAATTAGAGAATATTATATATAAAAATCAATTTTTATCTAAAATAACTATTTTTAATTATATTTCTTTAGATAATTAAATTGAAAGAAATATAATTAAAATTTGCTGTAATCTATGAAAATAGATGAGAGAAGAAATGAAATCTGTCAATAGGAAGTAATTTATTTTCTTGAATATAAATGATTAACTGTTAACTTTATAATAATTTTTTCAACTTAATATTACCACTAACCATTTAAACATGTAAAAATATGAATTCAAATCTAGTTGCCATATAAACAAACATGATCTATCAATAAAATGTAATTTAATATTAGAGTGAGTGCTTCTTATTCTTTCTATCATTCTTCAGAAGTATGCACAAAATTGCTATGTAGAAGTTATCACACAGGAACACTTTTTGATGAATAATACAGACTTTGTATTGTACAATGGAAGTGCATTTTGGGCTATTTACCTTTCTTCAGTTCTTATTGTACAAATTGAAATAACTGAAATTATATTTTAAAATGACTGCTGGAGTAATAAAATATTTAAAACAAAGGGGACAAAACCAGTAAAACTGTAAACATAAAACTTTAAACTTGCTAAAAAAAGTAGAAAAGTACATAAAATCTTAAAATGAATCAATAAAACTACTAAAATAGCAATTTTATTGATTCATTTACTATTTCAATTTTTATTGATTTATTGAAATAGTATATTAAAATTTTACCAGTTCAAGAGCTTTTAAACATCTTCATGAATAAAGAATCTACAAAAAAAAAAAATAAAAATAACAACATTAACAACTTCAAATATAACAAATTTGTATTTAATAAGTTTTTAAAAGAAAATTATGCTGTTTTTTGAAATTGTTTTTAATATATATTTTTATGTATTGAATTTCTGATGATAATAGATAATAAGAAATACGTAAAGGTTTTTAACATTAGTATAATCTTTGATATAATATTTCATAAAACAGTTTAATTATAGTTTATTGCCAATAGATTTAAAATAAACTTACAAATTGATTTAGTAATGCTTTATTAATCTAAATTGAGATTAACATTTACAGGCTGAATTGTCNATACGTAAAGGTTTTTAACATTAGTATAATCTTTGATATAATATTTCATAAAACAGTTTAATTATAGTTTATTGCCAATAGATTTAAAATAAACTTACAAATTGATTTAGTAATGCTTTATTAATCTAAATTGAGATTAACATTTACAGGCTGAATTGTCAAATGGTTTAAGTGTTTTGTGGGATGGTTGGAACAGAATTTATGTGATTGCATCTCCAAGTTTATTTGGCTATACATTTGGACTTTGTGGTACATTTACTCATAATCAAGCAGATGACTTTCTCACAACAGCAGGAGATGTAGAAACCTCTGTTAATTTTTTTGCTGAGAAATGGATGATAACAAATGGATGTACAGAACTTTCTAATCATAATGTTTTAATTCCTTCACCTTGTGATTTACATCCTGAATTAAAACTATCTGCTGAAACTATATGCTCCAAAATAAAAACAGAAGTATTTAAAGGTACAAATAAGAATAATTTCCTAATTAATATTGTTAATATAAAAATGTAAGATTTAATTTTCTAAATTAACAATTAAATTATCAAAATAAAACAATATGGTCTCATATTATTTTAAGGAAGAAAAATTATGGCAGTCATATAATATTTGATTCATTTAGTAATTAATCATTGCTGAGTTAATATTATTTTAAGCATATAATATCTAAAATTTTCAATCATGGTAATTTTAAATAATGTTGTACTTGTATCTATTTAATGCCCATTGAAAGTATGAATATATCGTATGCTAAGATATAATAATATTTCTATATCAGTTTTGAGAACAGTGTGTATTTACATAATATTGATGGAAAAACTAGTTTTACTTATGTATTTACTTATACTCTAAGAATTAAAAATTTGATTTTTGAAATTAATGAATCACTAAATTGTTAAAATGTTATAATATTTATTTACATCCAGTGGCGTGCCGTGACATTTGATAATAGGGAAGTTGTGTTTCTGTAAGAAGCCGATATCCAGGGGCAATCAGCCAATTGTGTGTCAGTGATGGTTTAGGGTCCATTTGTATTCGTATGTTCAATAAGCCAGTAAAAACCATAGACTTCTCTAAATGCATTTTTAATATCACAATTACATTCTGAATCGCTAGCCATGATATAAGGGCTATGATTAAAAATAAAATAATAAAAACTTGGTGAAATAAAATATGTGGTGGATGTACAGTACATACGTGGTACAAAATATTCTTCAATTGTATGAATATACTTTTAAAGAAAATTATAATTAAATATAGCTTTGTAAAGAAACATACTGTACATAAAAATAACATAACATATTCTTTACTTTTTAAATCTTAAAACAATGCACTTAGTCAAATAGCTCCCTACGAGTGGCTAATGAATGGAATCAGGGACGATTGCAGTGCGTGTATACACGCGGACTGCCAAATCCCCAGGGTGCCGATACCAGTCAATGTCAAATACCTCTTTTGTCACATCACTAGTATATCTCAAAGGACGCAACAGGGCTGTGTAGATTTTAAACGTTTCTTACCATAGCTGTAAAAATCTAAATATATTAAACTTAATAGTCATCTGTTTTCTAACTAATTTGTTTTAGGACCAAATGTCCTCAGAAATTTCCAAAATTTACAACTTTTCGGTCACTCTCGTTGAACTGGAAAAATTTCTCTCTTTATTACATTAATAATATGAAGAAATCAGTCTCCACTGTACTCGGCTAGAGATAGTTCGGTTAAGCTTTTGTTTAAGTAAGATTTTGGCTCTTTCATCAGGGTTTTGTTAATGTCCCCAATTCCCTAATTGCTTAATTATTTAACTACTTTTTAAGTAGAAATAAGTCAAAATCAGTTACTTTGTACAGTAGAGCCTCGAAAACTCGGCCTAATGTGGACCGAAGGGTGGCCAAGTTTGTGAAAATGCCGGGTTATCGGGAATGGGGTTAAAAAAACTAAGTATGAGTGTTTCCTCAGAAAATACTGTACTGTATTTGTATGTATTGTTTACTTGAGAATACAACAGAGAATAAACTGCCCAAATACCCTTAAAAAAGGAAAAGTACGACCTTTATGAAGGCATAGAGCCTTTACTACATGAAAATGAAAATTAATGAATACACTGTGTACAGTAATTTACCTGATAAGACAGACCTCAGAAAAATACTTTATGAGGCATAAAGTTGTCTATAATGAAAATTAATTAACTAAGGATTTTTTTGCCCTGCCAGGGTGTGGCCGAGTTATCCGGAGTGCCGGGTTATCAAGTGCCGAGTTTTCGAGGCTCTACTGTACTCGAATATTTGTAGTCTCGGGAAAAAAGTGGAAAGACAAATTTTTATGACAACAGATACATAAATCGTAAATTTAAGGAAAATAAATTCTAGAGCTTTTTCTGTACCTCGTGCATCTCTCTCATTCATTAAATTTAGTTGTAAATGATGCTGTCGAAGTAACAGTTAATTTTTTAACATTATACAAGAATTGTACTGTACACATTTTTTTCTACATCCCCTTAGATATGGGATATATGAAATCGTAATGGTTTAACATTGAAATTCATGAGTAATATAAAATCGGAGAGCAGAATAAAAATATCAAATATTTTAATGGATTTTTTTTAACTCCTGTCGACTATACGAAACTATTATAAAAAGATACCAGTAAATTCTTATCGGTTGGGATAAGTTATAAATCTACTCGTGTTTCATGTAATCAAGCAAGGTTGGCCAAATATCTAGCAGGCAGGTGGCTAACAGCCCAGAACCAGTCCTGAATATACTGCATCCAGAATTGGATGCGGTATATGTGTAGCATCCACCCAAGGTCCTAGGCTGCCACCAGCTAAACCGGGTGAGGTTGGTGCTCTGTAAAGTGCATGCAAGAATCNACGTGTAGTATAGAAATTTGTAATAAGATACATAATGCGGTTATAATAAAATATTGTGCGATTATTTTCATATAATTAAAATTAATATGTATTTATTTTTTAGAAAATACAAGGGAAGCGGCGCACCCACCGCTTCCAATGAAGGCACGCCACTGTTTACATCACCTTTCCTATTTCATAATATCAAATAATTTATTCTTTGTAATAAAAATTGAAAGTATAACTGTCTTTTGGTTATAATGCACTTGGTTTAATTAAAAACATATAAAATTATATTTGCCATATTTGTGTGTTCTTTTCCTATTTGTTGTTTGTCTATAGAAAATGATTTTGTTTTTTCCATTGAAAGAAATATAAAAATAATTTTATTTTTTATGTTTTAAATTAATTTAAATATATTAACACCAAAAGACAGTTATAGTTATTACTTTCAATTATTATTTTTAACATTTGTTTGCTTTGCCAAATTCTTAGATACTGTGTTTATTCTAATAAATAGTGCAGCTGCAAAATTAAAATATTATAAATGGTGTGCTGTTTTTAGAATAAATATAGTAAATAATTTTATTATTTCAAAATTTTATAAAAACATTTAAAAATAAAATGATAATTTATCCAAATTCTAAGAACAAAAGATAATGAAGACAAATACTTAAAATTTCCTTAAAAATGAAATATTGAAATTACAATATACGTTTCATCATTTGTTTGAAATAAGTTTTCATAATTAATTTATTCCTGACTGCCTAAAGTATAACTACTTCTGAATGTATGTGAATTGAAAAAATCTGTAAATTTAGAACATTATAAAAAATAAGATATTTTTTTATTTTAAGTTAACTTTATATTACATTTATTATATGTGAAAATTTGAATTTTTAATAATCATATATTTTATGAATAATTCCTAATAAATAATAACAACATAATACTTATATAAACACCAACAGGAACCCATTCTAAGCAACATAGGACTTTATAAAACATTTAAGTTTTTTTCATTTTCCTACTATTTTAGCTTGTCATGCTAAAGTTGATCCATCTCCTTATTATGAAGCCTGTATGTATGATGTCTGTGCCTGCAAATTAGAATTATCATCATGCTTTTGTTCTTCATTAGCTGATTATGCTTATGTTTGTGCAATACACAATGCAACAATTGACTGGCGTCCTCATATTCCTTCTTGTGGTATGTAGTTATAACAAGGTCTTGATAATGATTGATAGTTACTAATAATTATCTATATTAAAAATAATTCAGTACATGTATAGAATAATATATTTATTAATTATTTTATAATTAAAAATAATATTTGGTTTTTATAGTAATAGCAAGATGTTTTTTTACAGTAAAAATTATATGTTCAATTATGATATTGTTATCAATTACAATGAAGAGAAGTTAGCATAATTGGAATTGATGAACATTATAATAGTATAGATATTATTCTTAAGTAAAAAAAAGGGTCACTGAAAAATTTGAATACAAAATCCATCCAAATTAGAGAATGCATTGATATGCAAAATAAGAGTTCTGTTTTTTTATACAAAACATAGCCTTTTTGAACATTAATGGAATTAATATATTATGAAGATTAATACAGTAGCCTCTCATATATATTTTGATTTTTTTTGTTTACCAAATATGAAAGTGCTTTAGCTGATAATTTAAAAAAAATCAGTTGTCATTGAATTTCTATTGACAAAAAAATATTATCTTGTTCCAAATCATTAGCATTGAAACTACTATTGTATGAAATACAATCCACAAAAGAACAAGTCAGCATGGGGCTCAAAAAATAGAAAAAATGTGGATAAGTATATCTACCCATCTGTTTTAGTTATATTGCACCATCTGATATACAGGGCATTTCATAATGTTATTGGAGTTACAAAAAAATCACTGCAAGAAAAGTACTGAACTCATTTCAACAAAACCAATACTGGATGGGGCAGGAATTCAAACTGTTTTTTTCAACACTTACAAATGTTCACTATGTGTATGGTACATTTTTTTTGCTGAAGAAACAGTAATGGGATCAACATACCTGATATGTTAGTTGTGACTTATGCCCAATTACTTGATGAGTTTTCAAAAAGACAGTTATCCTAACTATTTTCATTATGAAGGTCTCTACTTTGGTACAGAATTGCCAAAATATTGAGTAGGACTTCCATTTGAAAATAACCAACATCTTATGCTGTGCCCCCCAAGATCACTAGATCTTGCATTTTATGATTTTTTTTTTATGGAGTTACATAAAAGATAAAGTGTTCATCTCACTGTTGCTGTGGAATATTGCTAAACTTAAAATAGCATATTGTCACAACTCTGCCCAGTATTGATGGGCCAATGTTGCCAAAAAATGTGGCAAGCACTGGATTATTGTATTAATGTGTTCTGTGTCACCCATGATGCACATATTGAACATTTGTAAGTGTTGTAAAAAAGCTGTTTGAGTTTTCTGTCCTGTTCAATGAAGTTTTGTTGAAATGAGTTCAGTACTTCTATTGCAGTGACTTTTTGTAACTCCAAAAAACGTTATGAAATGCCCTGTATTGTTCTTTTGATTTGTTTTCCAATATGTGTGTTATAATGAGGAACTACTGTATTTTGAATTAAATAACAGTTTATATAGGCTGTAATAAAAGTAAAAAGTACATATTTAAATAAAGATAAATACTTTAATGAATAAAAGAAAAGTTCTTGTTATGAAATAATTTAAAAATAAATTAATAAAAATTTCTATTAATTTTTAAATTGAAAAATAGTTAAATGAAATGCATTTTAAAACATTATCCAAATAATAAATATGAGAAAGCAATAGACATATCCAGCAGTAAAAAAATGCCATATCTATTAAATTGTACAAAATAATTAGGAAAATACTTCAGAAAATAAGCTATTCTTAATTCAGAAAATTCTTAATTTAATTGATGACTTCACTTTGATCCAATATTTAACTTCTTTGAATTTTTTTAGAACAAATGTCTGACAAATGTAAGTTTTAAAATAAGAAGTGTTAGACTACTTATTTTAAAACTAAACTGTAAAAAATACACATACAGTTTTAGATAAGTCATAACTTTTATTCATCAACTTTTTTGAAGATTTATTTGTCTTCATTGTATTAGATGAAACTTTCTAAAAGCAGTTACAAAGGTTAAATGACTAAACACAAAAAATAAGTTTGAAGTCTTTGGCACATCCATTCACAACCATTGGAAAACAACAGTAATGGAGTTGACCTTTCTTTAGAGGCTCTTCTCACCTACACATATGTAAATTGTCTAAAAATTCCTCCTGTGTGGGATATTTTTAAAAATTTCTTTGTAAAAATAAAAATATTAAAGCAATTCAAGATGAAATGTATTTATAATGAATACTAAATTCAAAAAAGTATTTTTCTAAAAGCATTTTATTTGAACATTTAACTGTGTGGTTGTTTTAACAATAATTTAAACAAAGAACCTGCGCAAATTTTTTTGAGTGTGATGGATTTTATTGTATATTAAATTATATTAGCTCTGTGACAGTGTATAGCTTTATTGTTATTATTATATATTAGGATGAGACTGCATTTTTTAGTTTGTATAATGTGTTCTTTATAGTTAAGATCCACAGCTCTATAATGTTCTGATCAGAAGTTCTAATTTTTAAGCTAGGTATCCAATGAATGATTTCATTGTACCAAGTCAGCATATAATCACATGACTTCCATGCAAATTGCACTGCTGATATCTACTATTACTTTTGTATGCTATCTGGTGGAAAGAAAGAAGAATAAATTAAAGATAGATGATGATGCTGCAGATACCTTAGTGATTTGCCTGTTCTTTGTGGAAATAAGAAAAAAGAAAACAAAGCATTGATTTATTATTATTTTTATTATTTTACATCTTTATACTTTTAAACCCTTTTATCAAAAATTTCAGGAAAATTGTGAACTACTACTATTAATTTCTCAGTTGCTGCATTCATCCACTAAACAATTTTGTAGAAAATGACATTGAACCATCTGATGACATTTACTCATTGCTAATTGGCTTTGTCTGGTTCACATGATAGAAAAGTATATCCAGTTCAAGCTGAATTGTACATAACCATGTGATTTGGATGCTTATTTATTTAGGTTACCAATGCACAGTGCTGAATGCTTTTAAATCACATGGTGAAGTTGCTCATTTGAATATCCAACTTTATTCACAAACTTTATGTTAGAAGTCTTTAATTTATTTATAAATTAAGACTTCTGATTTAAAAAGACAATTTTTATCTAGTTAGTCTTATTTTCTAATTGCTTTAGTAGAAATTATCTTGTGCTTTTTGAAATTTTCTATTCCTAGTGTTGAAAAATTTTAATACAAAATAGATATTTTTTTATATAAAAAATTATCATTAAACTTTTTATTTTTTATCTCATAAACTAGATTGTAATTTGGATGTTTTTTTAGTTACATGTGATATGTTGCATTAATATCTGAAAGAAAATGAAATGACAAATTTTTATGATCATAAGAGAATGTTACAAAATAATTTCTTCCTATAATCAAGTTGAAGAAATAATAACATAACTAAATATACAAGGCTACTAAGAAGATAAAAAAATATCTGTCCACAGGTGTCTGTTACAACTTTTCCAAAGGGATAAAGGTATACTTCATACTGTCATAATTATTGTTTAAAT